TTCTTCTTATCGGTTTAATGGGAATATCCGCATTTTATTACTTAACACCAACATTTAATTCAAAATCTTACCATTAGAGCTTTTCATATTGAATTAAATAATTCTTTTGCTTCCAGTGAACAGTTCTTGTAACAGTTTTTTTGAAAAAGTATCTGAAAGAAAAAAAACCTATGTAAGCTAAGTTAAATGAATTTAAAAATGAATTTGGTAGATCTTCGAATAGAGAGCTTTGCGCAGAGAGGTCTTTAACTGATTGCGGATGTCTGATCGGAAGGCCTCCTGACCTCACAGTACATGCTCAGTATCATGCAGTATCATTTCAACAATTTATGAAAAATGTTACTTTTTGAATTAACAAAATCTTTTATTTCACGAATAACAAAAAACTGAAAAGATTTATGGCCAATGAAATTTATAAATTTGTTGCTCAATTAATGTCCACAAAAACTGATAATTTACATAATTTACTTCTTTGCCTGTTTAGAAACACTAGGACTCTTAGGGAAGAAAATACAAAGTAACTAAACGATAACTGAAACCTTTTGTGATATAAATTAAGTTTTCGTATAACAGCGGTTGTTTAAAAGAGACCAGATCAAGCAATATTAGCTTTTTCTCTAACTGTATTTCCTTACCATCCTATAATGAATTTAACATTTCTTGTACATTTGACGACACTCTCTTACAACTACTTTTTCCTTTTTCATTTTTCGCTGACTTTTTGCTTCAAACTATTAATTTTTTTAAGAACTAATCAATCAGCTAAAATTCCTCTGAATATATCTCTCAAAACTAGCACTGTGTAAGGGATTAAGCGCCTTGCCGACATGTGACGTCCAGCTAATCAGAGGCGGGTCTGGTCTCTTAAAAATGGAAACAAAGATACCTAATAGAGGTAACAGTTACAGTGTACACTGCAGCCTAGAAAGAACTTAATAAATCTGACAAAGTCATAAAAATTCTAAAAATTTTAGTGATACCTATATTTCAAAAGGCACCGTACTACCAAAAAAAAAAAA